GCCCAGAACTGGACGCAGTACTCCAGCTGCGCCCTGACCAGTGCCGCAGAGAGGGGGAGGATCACCTCCTTGGACCTGCTCGAGATGAATCTGTGGATGCATGACAAGGTGCGGTTGGCCTTCCTGACCGCGTCCCCATGCTGCCGGCCCATGTTCATCTTGGCATCAATAGTGACTCCAAGATGGTGACTCACTGGGTGTTGGCACAGGGTCAGCCCGCCTCAGTTGCTATCAGGGATGGCAAGCCTTCCATAAGAGATATGTTCCTTCTTCAAATAAACAATGTTTTGGTTTTAAGAAGGGTGCCTAGTCCCTCTGTCTCGCTGAGCATAGGCTCCTAAATGGAGGAAATGCAGGTGAGGTGAGAAAAGGGGATGCACAAGTTACAGCAACACATCTAAGGTGGGAGGGAGAATATCCATTTTTTGAATTCCACCTGGGAAGCAGCAAAGGCTTGGAAACCTGAGGGAGCACATTTCCTGGGATGGGAAGGGCCATCAGGAGGCAGCTGGCTCTAACCGGCAGCCAGCGATTGCACAAACAGGCTGCTCTGACAGTGTGCAGGGGTTTTATGCAAGCACTGCCCCTTCCCAACAACATGAATTTTAAAAGAGCCTTAGTATAAATATGATCAGACCCAAACACCGAGAAAGGCAGGATCAACTTTAGAGCACTGCCATTTTCTAACCGACCAGCTCAAGGAAATTTTAGGTGGTGAGCAAAAAAGAGAAGAAGGATGATTCTTTTATAACAAGAGCCAGGATATAAGAGATACTCCCAATGAAAAACTCAGTAAATTCTAGGTAAGTTACTGTTCAGTATTAAATTGAACTAGGCAGTTAATGAGGGAGTACAAGGAATGCAATATGTCCATGAATGCTGCATTCTTTATATTGATCCTGAACAAAATGCCCAATCTTTATAACAGCATTTCCACATGCTATGTCAAAAGAGATCTGTGCAGGTTCAAGGGGCAGTGCATGTGGCAAAGAGTGAATCACCTTCCAAGAGTCCAGGACATGCACATTCATGTAAGCACGAACAAACATATTTGCCTCAGAAACTATTTTTCCATTGTGAAAGTATTCAGGTTGTATTTGTACCTTGCATTTTTTTCATTGGATAATAAATGTTCCCCAATTGACCAGAGTTAGAAGTATGTAGAACATGGCTCTCTCTCTCTCTCTCTCTCTCTGTCTTCGGTATATTCAGTGTTGTCAACCCCAACCAAGGATCAAACCTCTCAAATAATCATGAAATTCACATAAAAATTGGATTTTTAAAAATAACTTTCAAATTGCCTTTCAGATATTTCAGATTCATATTTCCTAGCATTTTTTCATTATCTGGAAATCTGGAAACTTGCTTAAAAAAAACAAGACAAAACAAAATTGAGATTCTAGTATTTCATGTATTTCTATGATTCTAGGAACTGGGTCTAGCAGAAAAACGTCAGGTATCATGAAGTTCATTATAAAACTGTTAGAGTTAGCAACACTACACACTGCCTTCATAGCCCAACAACAGGTCAGGAAAAGATGGACTGAACTTTAGGATCAGACACCTAATCATCCTTGCTCTCAAATTTCTAGGCTTGAAATCCTTACTAATTTGCTTTTTAGTCATGTATCAACATCACTATCACTGTTTGCAACTTACTCCTAGGCATGCCTCCTATTAAACCTGGTTTCTTAAGTAGCTAGCATGATGAACAAGACTTTAGCTGCATGATTCCAGCATTTACTCCAGCTCTCCAGAAATACAGGAGCACAATAACATTTCTTATTTAGTGCTTGAAGAAGTACACAGTGACTTTGCACAGACCCGCTGTCAACAGGCATCTGTGCCTTTTGTAACCATGGCAAAATAAATGGAAACCAAAATACATAGGTGCTAGTTCTGTGGGAGGTCTGGGCTGGAATCAGTCCAATGAGTTCTTGCTTAATGCGTCTCTCGCTCTCTCTTTCTCACCGACTCTGTCAAATAAATGGATTTAATTTAGACAGTAATCAACACACAGTAACTTTCTCTACTTCTCAGTGACATAATGAGCAGCATGGCTTTTTTTAGATTGGGAGAACAGGTCGCCAAGGAGTCAAAATAAATCATGCAGCAAGAGTTATTGCTGAAGGAGACATTTAAATGAAGAAAAGGTTTCTTAGCACAACCCAGTTAGCCCATTAAATGTTAATAACTTCTTGCAGAGACAGATGGGAACAGTCACTTGCAAGCTGACTGCTAACCCAAATATATGATGGCTGACTGTGATGGGCAAACTGCCCAGGACCTGAGAGAGCAGAGAGACAAATGCCAGGGAAACATAAACAACTTTTTTTTGCCGCAGTGCTATTCAAACCAACTTCCCTCCACATCATGCAGGAACAGCTTATGAAACTGCAACCTGGACTGAACAATCCTCATGATGCCTGCAGCACTCCTAATGATAGCGGCCAGTTTCTCAGAACTACTCGGTAACCACATCTGTGGACGGAGATGCAGAATAAGTCAGCTATCCTACATGTACATGAACAAGTGGTCAGATACTTAAAGAAGCT